CATTAAAGGCGAGGAACGGGCCGCGCACTTTTTTTTTTTTTGTTTGTTTTTGGAGCCGGTCGCTCTCTCCCCAGCGCAGTTGGGGGCAAGCGTTGTGAGACGCTGCTTCGTGGTCCGGGCAGAGCGAAAAACAGCATTGTTCAGTGCAAGGGAGATGGATAAAAGGGCCTGCATACAGTTATGAGGGAAAAGTGGATCTCAGGACGCCAGGCATTTGTTTTTTTTTTAAATGTCAAAGATAAAAGGGGATGGGTTTCGCCTCCTCCCTCACCATCGCCATTCGAGATTATTTCTAGATGGTTGGAATAATATTTATGCTGAACGCGGAGCAGCCGCCGAGATTCAGTGCAACTCGAGATTTTATACTGGTTCCGAGAGGGGAATCGGTCACCGTGCTCCAGAGGTGTATTATACCAATTGCACAAAGACATAGGCAAAGTAAAAAAACAACAACATATTCGCATATCCCGGAAATCACTCCAAAGCTGCCCTTGAAATTAACTTGACCGTTTCCGACCGTCTCATACGGTTTCGGTTCTAGACCAGGAGACCAGAGATACGGGCAGAGATGTCGCCACAACCACTAGGTGGCAGGACAACTTAACCTTCACCAGTCCTGTCCGTCTCATCGTGATATTCGTCCTGGTGTCCCAGCGCTCTATGGTGTACGTTTACAAGAGAAGCCATGCCTACAGTACTGTATGTCGGAAAGGAGTGCCGTATTTTCATTATCTACTCCATTTCAGAATAAGACGAGGCACAAGTACATCTGGGGGGGGCACACCGTTGGACTCCATAGCACTTAGCAAACATGTTTATGGAAACGCTAAAAAAAACACCTTTCAAATAACTAGAAATGTCAGTAGGGCTCGCACAATTTTTCACAATAGCGCAGGATCAAAACTACATAAATAAATAAAAAATATTTCAGATTAAAATATTGTGAATGTATATAATAACAGTAATGAAACAGCCTGATTATTCATGCAGAACAATCACATTATCAATTAGTATTTATTAAGAACACAACATACAATATATAAACTATGTACTGAAGATATATAGTTCCTTTAACCCATGTATATACAGTATAACTATACCTGGAGATCAGGAATCTTCTGTTATTTGATCTCTTAGGTACTGCAATGGGAAATTTTAAAAACTTTTCAGAAGACAGAATACACAGTCTTCACAGTTATATGAAAAAAAAACCCACTAATTTAGCTATAAGGCTACATCTTTTGTCATTTTTACAGAAAAGAAAAACAAAACATCTGATATATTGCATACTCTTACAGAACAGCACAATTAGAAATATAAGTTTGCCATAGACAGAAATAGTGAAAAAAAAACCTAATAAGCAAAAGGAACCCAGATTTAAGAGAGAAAAAGCAGACAGAATCGACATATTTTACATTCCATATCATATCCAATCTGTCCCAGCTGGCACAGGTGGGTACAAGCTAAACCCCATGTGGAGCTGGGGTGGACAGCTGATGACACCAGCTGTGACACATTGAGAAGCAATAGTACCACAATGGTCTTCATATCCAAAAGGTGATAGTCTCACAGGCGATGTGTATATCCCAGCATGAATCTTGTGCTCCCATTGGTGCTGCACTTAATCCTTCGGAGCATTTTATCTGCTTTGTCCAGGATGATGACTTTCAGAGTTTTTTTTTTTTGGCAGCTAGATCTATGGGCATTTACAAATACACAAAGCCACATCGGAACATGCACCAGCAAATCTTAGCCGTCTCTGTTCGAAATCGAGAACGTAAATGAACGCCTGCTTCAAGGCAACTGGAGTTCATCTGGAAATGACGCTGCATGTCTGGTTGCCCAGTGACCTTTCATGTTTTTTAAAAAGAACAAAGGAGTTGCTACTGCGTCTGTCTGTTTCAGCATAGCTGCAGGCTGAAGGAAGTTCAGGAATACAGTGTCTGGATTGCACAACCTCACCTATGGATACAGAGTACAGGTGAGCATTCCAGAGCACTGTTGCAGCCCCTCTCCTTTGCAAATGCCGAAAGTTCTTCGCAATCCATTCATCTTTTAAGCACTCCATCCAGTTTAGGGCTGAAGCCTATCCCATCGAGCAATAGGCGCAAGGCAGGATACACCCGAGATGGGACACCTGTCACATCAAGTGGCACTGCAAGTCTGAGGATGGGGCCTGAGGTTAGGGTCCTTACGGATATTTATGTCGGGGAGCCAGAGTCTATCCCAGCAAGCAACGGGCTCAAGGCAGGATACACTCTGGATGGACAGCCAGTTCATTGCAGGGCACACAGAACATAAACACAGACACTCACAGCAGGCCCAATCTTCCCCAGAAGCCAATTAACCTTCCAGCCTGTTTTCAGACTATAGGAGGATACCAGAGCACCCCAAGGAAAGCCACAAGAACAAACAGACTCACATAGACAGCTCCCCAGGTCTGGCATTGAACCCAGAGCCCCAGAGCAGTGCTAATCACTGTATCACCGGTCCGCCCTCTTCTCAGTCCATCACTTTCACATAGAGTGGTGGGCCAGGGATGAGAGACCACACATCCTGGAGTTGGGAATATTTAATTTAGGGTGTCAAAGCTGTCCTCCATCCACCCTGAAAAAATCTACTTCTGAGAAAAGCAGTTTTTGGTGGACAGGCACTGCTCTTGTTCCTAAACATGGAGTCTAATCAAGATGAATGACAAATGAGTGTTATATCCACCCACAGACCAGCGTCCCTCTCAGTCCTTTCTGCAGGAGAATTCTGCTATCTAAGACACTGAAGTACTGCAACAGACTGGACTGGAATGGCCGAGTGTGAAATCGTGCTGACCTCAAGCAGAGCTCTGCCCCAGCGGACGCAGGGCAGGACACCCGGCGCTAGACAGCAGTAAAATAAAACAGCAGGTGCACATCTGCTGGAGTCAGCAGAGTGTAGCAGGAGACACACAGTGGATTTTCATTTAGTCAGGACTGCGGTGCAGCGAATACATCTGCCTCACTACTCCTTTAAGTCCTGATAAGACTCGTGTCGCCTGACGGGGGAACAGGCTGCAGACAGACAGGGCTGTGGGGCTGTGCAGAGGGATCAGTGCTTCTGCAGAGGAGTGTTCAGATTCATGTTGTTCTCCTTTTTCTCCCTGTGAGGACAGAGTAATGAATATATATATATACTGTATGGTAATACAGTTTGAAATTTTGCAACAACATATTTTACCACATTAAAATAATAAAAAAGCTGCATTTATCAGAAGTACCTATTTCTCAGTTCTTTCCCCCACACTTGCAAGGAATCATAAAAACTCCAGACAGCCACTTCTGACACGGGAGGAAGGCCACAGCAAGGAAAAATAAAACCAACGACGGAGGACATTTTCAAAGTACGATTTCTGCTTACAAAACACCACTTGCCGTGCAATGCTATTTCTGTGTCTAACAGGGCATGATTAGGCATGCACGCCGCAGGACAACCTGTCTCTGAGTCTGGTGCAACATTGGTTTGGTCACCCTGACATCCTGTCGCTTGTTTCCATTCTTGTGTCGACAGACTTCTTGAACTGGCTGGTAAATATTTGTTTTGCACACAAAAGGTCAGCGAGAGATAAACGAGAAGATATTTCACTTATTTCAGAGGGGCACACTGCAGGCTAAACAGTGCAGGGGACGGGCCGATGTTGCCTTTTCATTTCCAGAACTTCTCCACCCTTCCTCTCACATGAAGTAAAGAGAGAATGGTCTTGTTTTCGTCACTGTACTGTGTACTGTCCCTTTCTATCTCCCTTACATTTTTAAATACATGTGTTAAAGAATATTAAACTGATAACTGCACAGCAAATAGGGAGCACAGTGTCAGCATGTGTTAACCTCTGCTTAGGACACCAGTGGATATTCTGCCAAGGAAGGGCCTTTTTTATTCAATAAAGCACCGTGAAGGTTCGAGAATGGACTAAATGTCATTTTGATGTTTTTAAAGTTTTAAAATTGCTTAAAAAAATTCTCATCTTATTTTGTCCCCCTTTTGCCTGCTGTTCCAATGTATGCACCTAAGCTGGGCTCGCTCCTGGGATTACTGAAGCAAAGGGGAAAGTGTTTTCCGACTCCTGCTAGGAAAAACCCAAGCTGAATGTCCGCCCTGACCCCTAACCCCTAACCCTTGACCCCAAGGCTAGTCTGGACAGAGGAGACTTACGCTCTCTCCAGCTCGATCTTGATCTCCCTCCGGCGCCTCTCGTCGATGGGGTAGAAGTAAAAGATGAGCATCCCCACCAGCAGCAGCCCGATGGGGGCTGGGGCGAACAGTACCTTCAAGGTCGTGATCACCGCAGGGTTGTGCCTGCAGGCACCTGGCCGGTACCCTGCAAAGCTGGGACACAAAACCAGAGCGAGCGTCACACAGGTTACAAGTTCTTTACAGATGAGTCAATATTGATGTAACAGTGAAGCTTGGTACAGTATGAAACAGCTGTGTTATGAGATATAACAGCGACAATGCCACCTCAATGCCTGCTCTTATGCAATCTGTACTGAAGAAAAGTGCCAGTAGGTGGCACTCTTTTCTCTAGACCAGATATTGAAATGTAACACTCTAGCTTGATGAAGGGAGCCAGGATAGTTATAGGTTCTGTATTTACAGTATTTATACCCTTGCATGTTCATACGAAGCTTGCAGAAGAAAAGGAAAGATGAAACCTTTCCCTGGGCTTCGACACACCTGCCAGGTCCATCAGGAAGTTCACAACCACTGTTAATAGTATATTAAAACTGCTGCCTCTCTGTGCCGTTCCTTATGTACCATCAGTATAGTATACTACACGGATTGTAGAGTAACAAAGTAGAACTAAAGCTTTGTTATCTTTTTAGTGCGAGGAGGCTTTTTCCCCAGCACTGCGGTGCGTCACGTCAGAGGGAATCAGAGCCACTTACTGCAAAGCCAAGGTGGAAATTCCGATGGCCATCCCCCCCCCGAATTTATTAAAGAAGACATAGCAGGAGTAAAACAGTGGCTCCAGGTCCTTGCAATTGGGGTTCTTCACTTTGAAATCGTCCACCACGTCCGGCAGCATGGACCTGCGAAAACACACGCACCGCGTCAGGGCTTTCTCAGCAAGACAGCGAAGCCACGAGCTTTCCACTGACTTCCACTTCCGGTCAGTTTTCCAGACACCGTAAGACAACGTGGAGCAGGTAGGTGCTGTAGCAGTGACCGGAGACGCAGGTGGCCATTGACTGCGTTTTTCACTCCCCTGTTCAGTGAGACGGACGATCATGACAACACATGGCTGACTGGACTCAGATCGCAGAAACAGCTCAGGTATTCCGGGACCAACATGATAGATGGGTTATAAAAGAAGTCTTGTGTTAGTTGGTCAGAAATGTCCAATAAAGAATAATGTAATGTAATGTAAAGGAGAATGCATTACAACCAACTCCAAATCAACCCATTTATAAATGTTAGTGTATTATTGTCACTAATTTCTGTGCCTTTTTGTGCCTATGTCACATGTGAATGTCATTTACAGAAAATGAACTTACACTAGATGCACATTAGCTTAAACGGTAGCATGTGTTAATGTGAGCTGTGAGAGAAAAAAAACACAGGATATGCAAGCTGAAGCACAGAAGTATTTCACTGATAAGGTTTTAATCAGTTCGGGCCGCTTGCACAATATCACAGTTACGTGTCACAGAGTTTCTTGCTCTAAGCTCATCCCTTTACTAGTTTGCCTAGCAGCACCACCCTGCTCCTGACCCTGACCTTGACCCCTGGCCCTACTCCTGACCCCATCCCTGACCTCAACCCTGCTCCTGACCCTGAGCCCGACCCTGACCCCGACCCTGACCCTAATTCACGCTGGTTAGAAATGACTGTGCTGGAAGAAAGGAATTGGTCCACATCTAGTCTGCAAGGATCCCTTACAGACCGACGTTATTTGTGTCCTTTTCATAGCATGAGCCCCAGAGTGACAAGTCAGGCTCTTCCAGCTGGCTTTGTGCCAGTCAGTCAGTCAGTATGTCGAGAGGCGAGGGCAGAAGTGACTGCTCTCTGCGAGAGGTGGGAATAAACATTTTGCAGACAGGACACACACCACGGCTGCAGATAAAAGGCTAGATTCCCCACAGGCCACTGAACTGTGCCACACATGTGGAAACTGCAAGACGTACAACAAAACTCGTCTTGGAAAAAGCATGCCTCAAAGACATCTCTAAAATGATAAAGACTGTTCGCCTTTTTCAAATTTCTTTTGCTACTTCCGCATTGTTTTGTATTCTTCTTGTTTTGTTGTTATCTGTGAACCTTATCTTACTAGCTATACCAGAATCTCGGTTACTGAACTAAATTAAGCAGAGCAGTGGTCCGAAAGAAGATCCCTGTGCAACACCAGGGCTTTCACTCAAATCTAAGCAGTTTTCAAACTAAATACGTGCAGTTAGATGGTACAGGATGCCTACTGCATGGAATTTTAGGATTAATGTTTTATGTGGAACCTTCTGAAAATCCAAATATGAAAATATCAAGTCATGTGCTCTGTATGCAAAGTTATAGAAACTTTTTGGAGCTCTCAAGCCAGAGCCTCAGCTCCAGCAGGCAGAAGTTAATGTACTGCCTGTCCTAGAGCATCATAGCTGGCAGCAGGGATAAAAACCAAACGTGAAAAAACAATTCATCTTATGCGATGGCATAAGAACCGAAAAACCCTGAGAGGTCCCAAGAGCTAGAGATTAACACACTTGGGGCACCTGCTCTCAGAAACACTGGGTCCCACATCTCAGAAGCGGAGGAGAACAACAGCAAAAAAGGGCCATCTTGCACTGGGAAGTATCGGACAACCGATATTTCCCCATTCGCAAGACAGGACGTACGGACAGAGCGCGGAACAGTTGTGCAATTCGATGAGAAAGAGGTAACACTCAAGAGCACATGCAGGTGCCTGGGTGAGTCTGGTAGCGAGGCTGACTCACCATGGCAGTAAGTACAGTACAGCCAGACTGGACCCTGCAACGATCGCCATGACGACGTACACAGGCAGGTTACTCCTAACAGAGGCGATGATGATCAGAGCTGGGATGTAGCACTAGGAGGAAGAAGAACAATGACTAACTAGATTAATTAATGTGAAACCATGCCCTAGCAAGTCTACGATAAGTAAGTAAGAGACCTTTTCACTGTGAAGTTAATCACCTTGTTTTTATATTACAATAGCCCTGCAGGTTCAAATACAGAAGTTAGTGACCTTTTAAAGGGATGTTCTGATTGGCAACTTCCTTCGTGTGTGAAGAGACAGTATCGCAACTTCTTTGTCCTAAAATAGCTCTTTGACATTTTGAGATGCAATTCCACTGCTTTCAAAAACACCATCCGTTCTTCAGCCAACAATCGTCTGCGTGCACCGAGGTCAACGCCACACACACACACATGCAGACAACAAGCCGTGCATTTGATAAATATGCAAACTGATATGTTAAAGATATGATAAAGCTGGTGGTATTTGTGAAAGCAGTGGAATCTGGGTGTCCTTTCAGTCATAATAATACCTTTTATTCATGGAGAATAAACTCAGGGTGCCTAAGTACATAATGTATACAGAATTACAGACTTGGCAGAAATGCTGAAAAGGGCTGGCATGGGTGATCGCCAGTTTCTGGCATTACAGGATCCGTTACAGACATTCTTTTCACAGAATGCAGAATGTACAGTACCTGAGGCCTTCTCTGCCTGCTGTTTTCAAATTGTTGATGACGTGCTCTACTGTTCCTAGTGCGTCTCTAACTAGTTTGCGTGCATTATTCAAATAACATGAATGGATTTTGTTTGGATAAACACGATAGAACGTGTTGAACATTCTTAAACAGCACAACATGAGCCCTAACAGACCAGACCAAAGTCTGGGATATATCACTGAAATAAGCATTGATAAAGTTTCTAAAACTTTACAAAAACAACCCCAAAGTTTCTTTAGAAAGCCTCCATTCTCTGTAGAAACCTACAAGCTGTCAATAGATCATTTTCATAAGGTTGCTATATTAATAAAATTCAATTTAACTACTATTGACTGCATACTGAAAAGTAATGGAAAATGTGACCATCCAGGCATGCCGACTTTGTTAAACTTACCGAAAGACCCACAAAAAGTGCCGTTCTTTTCCCAAACTTCACAAGTAGAGTCTGCCATAGAGGTATTGACAAAGTAGCCGCCACCTAATAGGAAACACCTTTTTAAAATGATTTCAGTTCCGCAGGTTCAGGAAACTTGACTCGCATAGAAAAAATTCAACACACTGATGACATGGCAAATAAATCAATCAATCAAAACAATCTACTGATCTGGGTGTTTTGCTTCAAGCTAATTTCAGAGGAAAATACTTTTCTCTGAATCTGAGGCTCCTCCCTGGAGCACAAGTCTATGTCAACGCACACAGGACTCACTGGTTACAAAAAGAGGATTAAGCAATTGGTCATTTACTAGATCAGGACAAGAAGGACAAACCAGCTTTAACATTCTAAAGCTAGTTTCTTTTAACTGATGATACACACTTGGCTCTGACCATCTCCTCACTGATAAAGTGATACAAGGTCGTCCATTCGAACGTCAGAAAACTGTTTTTTAAATAGTCTAAGCTTCTTCCTTCTCATCATTTCACATTCTACGCTGGTGAACCTTTTAAGAAAATCTTGGATTACGAGGTCCTTCTGAGGCTGATAAAGACACTGATAAAGCAGCTTGTACCAATTTCCTTGCACCTGGGGGAACTGCATTCAGTGGGCGGACTCACATGAAACTGAACTACGTCCAGCACATTCCAGACTATTTAATGTCCAGATGCTCAGAACTTAACTGCTACTTCATACTTCTTACAAAACTGCTAAAAGGCCTTGTTATTTACGGAGAAGTTACAAGCACTGGGAGTCCATTTCCTCGAAAGGCGAGGGCTGTTGTACTTACGAGCAGGATGAGGACGAGGTGTTGGAAGTAGGCGCCAAGGCCCGCAGCATGAGTACAGAATAAGGCAAAGTTCCCCTGCGCCATCTGGGAATGATAAGAGCACTCTCTGACATCAACCTCACACTCTCCTTTCGTTGAGACAGGCATATAAATGTCTCAAAGCACACGTAGTGCTTCCACAAATTACTGTGGTCCTTTACGGTTTAGAATTTAAATGCAGCTAAAAAGAATCACCTGGATTTACCTGAACCTGTTTTTGCATGCTTTTCAAATGTTCAGTTCAGTTCATTTGTCATATGCACAAGTGTAATGAAATGCTTATTTGCATATATACAGAGACAAAGACATTAAAGGAATCACCAAAACCATAAACACAGAAAAGCAGCAGCAACAAAAGCCATTTAAATAGCATAACACTTCTTTTTTTTAAAAAGGTAGACAAGCAGTGTGAGAAAAATACCCTCAGTGTGAGCCAGTGGTAGGGGGGGAGTTCCGTAATCTGACAGTTTGTGGGAAGAAACTCTCTCTGAATCTAGATGTCCGTGCCTTTACATTCCTATAACACTTACCAGAGGGAACGGGGGAGAAAAGTGAGAAACCAGGATGACTGGTATCCTTAGCGATACTTCCAGCCTTCCTCAGAGAGCGAGTTGTAAAAATGTCCACAAGAGAGGGGAGCTGTACTCCAGTGATGGACGGGGCTGACCTGATCACCCCCTGTAACGCCTTCCAGTCAGACAACCAGCTGCTGCCAAACCACAAACGTGACATCACCCCTGTGACAGAGCGTGTTTGTGACTATTCTGTGTTTGGTGGCCGCTGGCATGACTGCTCCCCTGAGCCCCCAAAAGAACTCGATCAAAGACCAAACTGCGGAACCACAAGGCGCTAATTCAACACTACCCCCCCCCACCTGCACTGGGTTCCGGTTGGGGTCTGCAGGCACGTCCCTAGCCCCTCTCAGGGCTGATCGCTGATTTGCACACCACGAGATGCAGGGGGTCACGGCACGCAGCACGAGGTCGCCCATCTCGTCCAGCTCCAGCAGAGCCCGACCCACTGTTGCCCAGTAAACCACAGCTGCAGGGCCCCCCCATTCTCTGTGCCCCATTCTTTCAGCCTCAGCCCCCACAGTGCTGACCTGAAACGCCAAGGAGGCAAAGAGGAATCCGAAAACCAGGCGCACGTAGGGGGTGTGTCTCACTACACACCTCAGGCCCGACAGGTACGACATCTGCAGCTTGTCCAGGGTGCTGAGGGGGGCTGCGGAGGAGGAGGAGAGAGAAAACAAGCATGAAGCTGAATCTGTGAGCCACTGGTCTCCACGAACATTTCAGCAGCTCACCTCTGACCTCCGCAGTCGCATGATGAATTTAACGAGGGCCGCTTGTGCCAGTGCTTAGGCAGAGCTACCGAAATCTCATTCTTCCCACAACTGGTGCTCGTTAAGGCATAAATGTTTTTAAGTGACAGGTCACGCATCTGCTTTGCGATTTGTAAAGCCAAGCGAAGAAATTCCCCTGTCACTGCAGAGATCACCAATCACCACGTGACCGGGACTGGAAACAGAAAGCCCTTGTGCTCGCCGAAAACAAAGCACAGGTCTCCAACGGGCTCGTCTCAGAGAGCAGATTGTTTTTGACAGAAAGGGAGGGCAGCTCAACTATATTTCAATGTTACATGGAAGGGGTACAAGTTACAAAGTACTGGCACAAACAACACCAATGGGTGACTCACACTGATATCCCCCTCCCCACAAGAGGATGGGATAACTCATCAAAAAGGCACCTAGCAAGAACAACACTGCTGTAGTTCTTAAACCCAGATGTGCAGATTTCATCTAGTGTTCCTCTGCCTCAGCTTAAACTGATATGAATGTCCCCTTACTGGAGATAATAATGGAGCGATACTGAATTGCCTCATGTCTTGAAGGAATGTGTTTTTAGGTGCAGCATGATGAATGGAAGGAGAGCAATTGTTAAAGCCCTTTCAATGTCCACACTCACCTAATTGTTCCTTCACCCCCAGAAACAGCACCACACAGCAGAGAAAATAAAAGCTTCCGTTAATCACAGCAGCAATCAGGTAGGCCTTCCTCTGATTTCCAAAAAGAAAAAAAGAGTCATTAAGAAACCAGTGATCAGTGAATGGGTTTTGTGAACCAGGACAAATATTTCGTTAATCTTTAAACTACAACTGCCCTTTCATGAAATTAAAAACCTCTAATTTATCTCTCATTACACATTGCTAAGGCAGTGAAAAAACTGGTTCTTTTCAGTGTCAGGACCTGTTATTGGTATCACTTAAACCTCTGAAGACATACAGCCCACGTTTCCATCCTTCAGATAACACTTTTTCACACTTTTTTCTTGTACTAGTGAAGGTAATTAGGGATTTCTGGTTGAGTGCCCCTTTCGTGTCTACATTACAGACCAAACTACCTCCAGTAGGAAGGGAAGAAACGATCTAATGAGGAGATTACGCCACAAACTACGTGGGTCATCCTGTACAGCTGGTGGAGCTGGTACCCCGCTACGGACAGATGCAGGGGGCATTCAAATACAGTACTTCTGTCTCCAACATATTTTAAGAGAGAGTCAGAGTCCGCATTAAAAGGGGAGGAGGGTGAATTAAATGCCCGTTCAATTCAGGTTGGATCCAGAGAATCCCATCTCAATCAATCAATCAATCGCTCCAATTTACCGCACTTCCTAGCAGTAATGGCGGAGTGCACCCGACTGCTGCTCCGCCTCCGCCTTGCGGTTTTTGATTCTAGGTGCTTTGCTCTCCCTGTCAATCGCGGTTGCCATGGCATTCAGGGGGCGGGAGCATGGGCAGGAAGCGGCTCGAGCCAGGAAGACTGACCGTGTCGTAGAGAGTGTCCGTGAGGGCAACGGTCGCGTTCAGGGCCGTGAGGTTGAAGTCGGTGGAGTTGAGCTCGTTGCAGGCTTGTGCCTTCCTGGCGTGGTACACTCCCACGATCTGCCCCTGGATAGTGGCCCCCGCCAACGTCCCAAAAACCTCCACACCCATCCCTGTGGCCCAAAGAAGAGAGCACCATTGGAGTTTAGCAGAGAAATTCACCACTCAACCTCTGCAGGAAGACATTTTCTGTCACACGTATACAGCAACATTTCACCACTAAAATATAGTTCCTCATCCAGTGATGGGCCGCCGTCAAGAAACGTTTTTCGTGACAGCAATCATCATTGAACCATCACAACCAATCAGGAATCACTCAAAGCTCCACCTCAGCCAATCAGGAATCACTTCCAGCCCCATCACAGCCAATCAGAAATAAATCCAAGTTCCATCACAGCCAATCTGGATGCATTCCTAGAACACTTGTGCTGGTCTGTCAGGCCAATGTCAGGTGCGCTCTTGAGTTGGTTGGATGGTTTTCTTCCAAACTGTAGTGTGACACCGTGAGGTCAGCACAACAAGACCCTCACTAGATTTAGACCTTGTCTCAGCCCAAATTACCAGAGTGCTCACACACCCTCAAATGGAATTTATCTGGTAAAACAAAATCAGTTTCCATCAAAAACCAGTTGGCTCCATGCTCTCAAGAGCTCTGAGGCAACTAGACTCTCCTGTCTCTTCTGGAGGCTCATGAAGTGGCTTTTGCACTGCAATGATTGAAGTGTTTTAGAGAACTGTCCCATCAGCAAACCACAAACACAAAACAAAAGCAGAAGAATCAAGTGTCCCGGAGGAGAAAAAAGACCAGAGAGACAAGTCAGAGACAAGTGAGGCCTGCTTACTGAAGGCTGTCGCCGAGTCCCTGTCTTTCTGATCTCCACCCAGGAACATGTTGAGGGATGAATAAGGGACATGGTAGCACTGCACAGGCAGAGAGGAGGAAACGGTGAGAAACATGACAAATTCAAGGAACTCTACAACACCGACCTGGATTTACATATTCAGATCAGACACCTCATACAGAACAGTAGCAAGGAGCTTGGACTCTGACAGAATACATAAGAAAAACTTCCAAAACAGTACATCTCCACAGAAAGGGAAACATTTTTGAACAGGTCTATATCAGATTTCTTGCAAAATGATGGTTTTCTGTTTACTCAGGCATGCTTATCTCACAAATCAGCCAAAACCAGGTTACTCTAGAACTATCAGGGAACAGGCCTGGGCAGAGATGAGGTTTCCATACACCTCAAAATGCAGGTAATTTGATAACCACCCAAAGCTACTCTTTTTGGTGGGACTGTTGATATAGTATCTGTGCTGTTGATAATTTCAAGAAAAACAGCTTAAGGAAATGTTTATCCTACATGAAAAACCATAAACTGTGAGAAGAAATGACTTGCTGACACCAGAGTTTTATATACTGTGTATTATAAAGCATTGCAGAAACAGACAGTTTGCTACACACTTTTTAAAATACACTGTTATTGTGCAACAGCAGTTTGTTTGCCTTCCCTTTCTCTGCTGTTCTTAGTTTTAACAACATGTGAGTGTGGCAGAAAGGAGTGTAAGTAGAAACAATTGTAAATTGGGTGGAATGTGTTATTTATCAGAACATACCCGTATGTTAAGATTATTAGCTTATACACAATCAACAAACTGCAGATTTGACCACTTTTTCTACCATAAACTCATGGCCTGGATGGCAGTGCGAATTTTTTATGGTGTCTTTGTAGCAGGGCTGCTCATTTTGAAATGGCAGGGCCCTGCAATGGAAACGCATAACAAGGGAACATAAAGTAATGCTCCTAAGGGATGGCAGGGGCCAGGAGGAGGGTCTCACTGGGACAGAAGGCGAGGGACGGGGAGGTAGGGGCGATGTGGTCCGGCCGCGAGGGGTAAGATCTTACACTCATGAAGGTCTGGAAGAAGCAGTACATGGAGAAGTACCAGAAGAAGCTGAGCTGGGAGGACATAGTGTCTTTGGGGGTTGACCAAAGCAAGACATAGGACAGCACCCCGAACGGCATGGTGAAGACAGCCCTGCAAACACAACACAAGAGCAGGGTCACACAACACAAAAAGCTCACTCCGCTTCATATTCAAAGATTTGAAGACAAGTAACAGGGGGCTGAATATTTCAGTACAAAGAAGATCAAGATCTTAACTTCTGAGGAAGACACTGAACACAAGGTAAGAGATGAGGCACAATCCAAAAGCTGCATCTTTGAACATCCTTCCCTTTCCTCTCACCTCTCGCGGCTTCACCCCGTCTTCGTCGAGTTCAGGGGTGTGTTTTGGGGGGTGGGGGGGGGTGTGGCCGTGTGGGAACACGCCAACTATAAAAAAAGTCATCCTTGGCTTGCAAAACAAATGGCTTGAAGCAGCCAAAATCTCAACATGTCTTAAAGCAAGCCAAACACACTAGAACAAAGGATGCTTTCAATCACTGCTTCACAGGCCTGCGACAACTCAGGGGTTCCTGCACTGCCACAGCTTTAAAACACAGCTGCGGTCTCGCAGGCTGCAAAGCACAACTCCGATATCGCAGAGTACTCCTATCCAGGTTCAGGAAGGGAAGTGAGTGGGGGGGGCGCTCATGCCTCAGCAAGATTTTCCCAGCGATTTTAAACTCCTCGTGCGCAGGAATGATGACTTCAGTCCAGCACAGCCCGAGGACTACCACAGGCGAGGCTAGATATTGGGGTACACTTACCAGGGGATCAGCTTGCCAAACCTTGTTTTCCCACTTTTGCTGACCACATAGCCAATGAGGGGGTCCGTGATGGCGTCCCAGGCGCGTCCCAAGAACAGGATCAGGGACACGTAAAAGGCCTCCATCTAAACCAGAGAGGAGGGAAGCTGGTGAAACCCATTGGGAGGCTGGAGTGGCAAAGACAGATCCAAGTCCGACTGTAAACACAGCTGAGGCTCTGTGCCTCTGTCACGGTGAAGTGGCAGAGGGAGGCTGGATGGAATTCAGAGGTGGAGACAGTTCAATTGCAAATGTCAACCGGTCAACTCAAGCCAACAGCAAACTGAACAGGTGCCCTGCTACCCTGCTCTTGCAGCCCCTGAGGGCCTGTGCAAAATGAAACAGCCCTGTTAAAATCCCTCGTCTCCGAGAAGACCGTCTAGATGGGCAACGTTAGAATTCTCTTCGAGGAGAAGAGGAAATGTTACTTTAAGGAACCATATCGCCTCTGCAGAGAAAAAAAACCAGACGCCTCAAGAACAACAAAACTGAGACAGAAAAAAAGATTTCCTTCCCTTCTCTGACACATACCCTTCCTTCCGAAAACTCACAGAACAAAAGGGAATTCTCAGAAGCTGTACTCTGCAGTTCAACAGGTTAATGCGTTTACAGCCAAAACCCGTTTGTTCAGCATGTAAAAAAGCCCACCAAGAATGGACTATTTTACGGGAAGCTTCACCGGGCCTCAATTCTCCTACGTAGCAATTAAAAGTTCAAAACACGCAACTGAGAGACAGAGGTCCTCCAGCACCAGGGTCAGGAAACGCTGAGAGAGGACCTGGAAGACTACCGTGGAACTGTAATGTCAAGTGGGATTCGGACGTGCTGGACCTCTTCCAGCCCCGGACCTACTCACCTGGACCACATCCAAGAGGAAGATCTGCATGAAGAAGCCAATCGCGTTCGATGTCATCTGATAAGGAGCCCCGCCGACTGCATAGCAGATCTTCCTGCGGAGCGGCATCGCCGTGGGCTTCTGGAACGAGAGGACACCCATGTCACAGGCGTCTAATCCTTTTCTAGCCTCTTCCTCCAGCTCGGGGTCTGACCCAGCAAGCAACGGGCGCAAGGCAAGGAACAGCCCATCCCAGCGCCCACACAGGCACAAACACACACACACACGCACACACGCTAACACGCTAACACGCTAACACGCTAACACGCTAACACGCTAACACAAGAGGGCTGATGTTCCTAGAAGGAAATTAACCTCCCAGTGTGTTTCGGGATTGTGGGAGGAAAATGAAAGAAAACCCACAGGAACACATTTGCATGATTTGCATTTTTCCATGATCCAGCCGTCTCCATATCTCCGTTATTTTTCAGGTCTCGCTTTATTTACATGAGCTCTCCGAATAACCAACACTATCACCTCTACTGAAACCCCATATGGCATTATGACAGCATTCGCACTCGTTAACGACAACTGTGCCAAAGAAATTCTGCACAGCATTAAAGCACATCTGTCACAGCAGGTGGCCGAGCAGGTCTTAGGGTGAGGGCTGAGGTAGGGCCTTAAGAAGACTTGCGCAGATCCAGGTTACACCCTTCCATCCGTTTTCTTACAGCTTCATGCAAGTCCAGGTAGCGGGGGAGCTGGAGCCTATCCTGGCAAGCAGCTGGCGCAAGGCAGGATACACCCTGGAGAGTGTGCCGGTCCATCCCAGGGCACACAGACACAGGCACGCACTCACACCAGGGCCAGTTTTCCCAGAAGCCAGAAAACCTCCCAGCACGCCTTTGGAACGCTTCACGAATTTGCCTGCCATGCCAATCTCTTCGGTCTCGTTACAATGTTTGGTATTTGTGCCGCCGAAGCACGACGTCTCTGGACTGTGGGAGGAAACCCACGTGAAGACAGACAAGCCGCACCCAGATCGCACCCCGGGTCAGGAGCTGAACTCCCAAGGACCCGTCACACTTTCTGGAAACAAAACAGCGGGAGAGGGTTTGGGAGTGCTACTGCATTACTGTCTTCCCGCACTAGCCTCTCTCCAGGTACAGCGCTGCCGTGTTCAGTGACGGGTTTTCTAACTGCAGGGGGGTGTGTGATCAATCGTCTGTCAGTCGGCTCCTCCACACCACGCAGAAGATTAAAACTCATGTACCTTAGCTCCCTCTCCACCCTACTGAAGTTTAGACGGGCGGGCGACTTCGTCTCTGGAGCTACGCAATACAGTATACAGAAGCATACTGGTTACTTCAGCTCCGCACCACTGCTGTACAGTAGTACTGTATATATCTATAGCATTCACATAACACACACGTCTGGTAATCAGCATCTTAAAAAGATATTTTGGATACAGGAAGTCAGTTTCAGTATTCAGTATTCTAACAAGAGACTCGCCCTTTTGTGATATAATTTTAAAAATCGTTAAGCTTGTTTTTGTTTTTGTCCAATGGAATCTCGAGATAATACCGAATTGCTCGGTCTGCATCACTGAAGTGGGAAAAGGGATTTCGGACAACACTGCGGTTTCAACAGGTGGTCAAAGCCCAAGCGATCTCTTCGTTTTCCCTTCTCTCTCTGCTTTTCTTGTTCTAGGAACTGCATTTCCATCTCATTCGCGACCCCAGCAAAACCCCAAAGATTCGAATGCCATTCGACACCCGAGATCAATCTTGTTTTGTTTTGTTTTTGTTTTTTTTCCGGGCAGACTGGAGGTTTCTCTAAGGCGAAGGACAAATGGGACCACCTGTTACCAGCACTGCCGGCAATTAATCCTCATTATTCAATCTCCTCTTCCTTCACTATTTCAGCCCTCCGTTCAGTCCTAGTCCTCGCTCGGTATTCGGGATCCATCTGCCCCCTGAGCTTGCATCGTTCTCGAACCTCTGACCACCGACACGAAGGCCCATCGGGTCTCGGACCTCTCGTCTCCCCTCGCTGATCTCTCAACCGGGATTCGACCTCCAGCCTGGAGCTACTGACCGCTCTGCTGCCCCGCCCTTCTCGGACTGTCGTGGAGACCTGCACTGGGCTCATAATAACTCGCTCGCAACATCACCACTATCTGCACTGGTATTGCGATACTTCGCCCATTAAAAAAAAGGAATCCCGAGACCTGGGAGATGTAACGGTACAGGACAATACAGAAACCAGACACCCCATTGAACCGACCGGACAGGGGTGTCGGTGTGTTCATACAGTATGAACTACATTTAGCGTCACTGCATACCAACGTTCGGACCGTGCACGTCGGCTGAAGTCCGAGCTCATAGCTCAGATATCCAATAAGGGCTTTAGTTCAAAATGAATTGCATTCAAACTTGGGGGATGGCAAAACATAACGTGCACTTTACCCCCTGCCCCAGGGGGTCTCTGCGGGAGGGCGTGACGTCAGCGTAAAAGCCTCCTCAAAATGAGGTTTCGTGGCACATTGCATAAGACCAGATCTTAACAAAGAGAGTTTGCCGAGACGTTTCCCAACACAGTCGATAAGTAAAGTTCGGGGCACGCTTGCACGCCAATTTCATGAAAACAGGATACCAAACTTCCCACGCGCTGTATTTCTAGCACTTTTTCTCATTTTAAGAAAGCATCGAACTGAAGTTTCATCACACTCCGCGTACTAACCTCTAAAATGCTTTACATGCATCGCTTTTTTTTAAAAAATAAAAAATAAAAAAAGGCAAATACAAACGTAAAGAAAGCGCAATGCAATAGATCCCCTAAAAGTTCTGTAGGTTTGGAAAGCATTCCCGATGGAGGTGAACTTACACCCTCGGACCCTGCGCCAGCGCCGAGCGCGGTGCTGATGTCGGGCTCCCGTGCCGTCGCGGTCTCGGGACCTTCCGTCGCTCCATCCATCCCGCAGCACGCGCTCGGGAACACACGCTCGAGGAGCTCCGCTGGCCACGGACCCGGGCGCGCTTATATGCGCCTCGTCACGCATCTGGTGGAAATCCTCCCCGACCGCCGCGGTTTCGTAACCCGCGTCGCGGAAACGGCTGTGAGACCTCTCCGGCTTTTTAGGGGCCGTGGCCCCGGGCCGGGAGAACCGAACCGCCTCCGGAACCGGCGGCATGAAGTCCGCAGGTTTCTGCGTTTCAAAGGGAAGCCTCACTGTAGAGACCAGGAACACCGCAACCGCGTCAGTTCCCCTTGTGGTCCTTACTCCATGGGTGTGCGTTTTTTTTATTGCGGGCTGTCTACCAAATGTCCGCTTTAGTTTTGTAACGGGCTGCAAGATACACTGTTGTTATGCAGCTCATTAAAATAAAAGGCGGCGGTGAAGCGTGACAGTTGTTTCTGCTGAAACAAGTTACTTTTTCCCTCCCCCGAAAAGGGCGTTAATCGCCTAATATTGTTCCCACAGAACATGTGGCATCTCTCGCCCTGACACTTCCAGCGCGTTTTCATCAGTGGGTCACACCGTCCTGAGGAGAGACCTACGCATCTATAGCCCGGCCACTATCCTTCCTGTGGAAGCTCGTTGTTACTTATCAGTCTTGAGTTTTATAAACATTGGTGTCCGTTTTCTGATCCACTTAAGACTTTATTCGTTTTCTGGTGATCAACTGAGGCGTTGATGTTTTAGAATAATTTTTTTTTGGGGGGAGCGATCTAATTGCTTCTATGTAGAACAAAAAAAAAAACGACTGTACCCTGACAGGGTCATTCGCCAATTACTTTCTGAGAAAAAAAAAAGAACCAGGGCCGTGCTTAGTGTTTGCTAGCACCGAAATGTATTTCACAAGCTATGGGACCTGCCCTTTTCTTTTCCCTTGCACAAGCAATTTGTTCTTAGATTTTCCCCTCAGCTAACGCAATGCTCCATTTCAGAAAAACAAGAGAGTTGACGCCTCCGTTCTGCTCCAGATCCCCGTGGACCGGACGTCCTTCTGATAAGAAAAGCAGTGGGCACTCCGTACGACCAAATATGGGTCAGCTCGGACGGGCTGCGTCTGGAGAGCACTGCTTGGGAAACCTAGTTCTTATCAATTATTCTTATTCAACAACTTCTTCTAAATGAAGTACCAGATTTCACCACAGAGTTGCCCTGCAGCGGACGAGAAGGTTTGGCGTGAGTCAAAGTGGAAGAGAACAGTTCAACTCCAGTACTAAGGCTAACATGTGAAACCTAGCACCTAGCACATTCACGAAAGCAGCTCTCGGGGGCAGTACGAACTACGGGAGGGGGCAACGTGAATTCAGAAGACGCCAAGCAAAACTCCCAGTGGCCCATTCAGAGCCCTTCACTGAAGTCACACACGCGTAGAGGACGAAAGCTCAAACGCTTACCTCGCTAAAGACAGCTTGGTTCTATTCTACTGAGGGCGACCTGAGGCCCCAGGGAGGTGATACTTAGCGCTGCTTGATCGTCAGGGTCCCTGTGGATCAGCTATCTTGACTGGTCCTTTCATCCCGGACCTCTCCAGCTCGGGCCCACCCCGAGACTCGGACCCTTTGGCTCTTTGGCTGCCGCTACTGTCCTGAGGGCGGACACACTCCGCAGCGGCTGGCCGGAGAGGCACAGTCGCGCGTTTCGTGGACCCCTGAATGCAGGAGCCTGCCAACCACACAGGAGCTGCTGTTCAGCCAGAAAGATGAGCGCCGCTAAGAGCAGTAGCTGCATACATATATATATATAAAAATACATGAATTAAATTATGTTCAGTTTTAATCACAAGTTTCCAAAAGTCATGAAAAACCCATTCAAAGGTTAGGGGGAAGAGAAGGTGAAAGGGTGAACACCCTGTACAAGTCTAACCATCGCAATCCAGACAAATTGTGGCCCCTCCTCCCCAACCCTTCAGATAGCGCATCCCTGTAAAAAACAAATCACTTACTCCCTCCAGCACATTTTACTGCAGATTCTGAATGAAAGGACTTAGGCATTGGGTTACAGCGGTACAAACGAATTACACATGAAAGGGAGAGGAGCATGATGTAGGAAACTTGCATCTCTGAAGAACTAGAAGTCTAACACTATTGAAGAACCCCTTGAGGTCAATTAAAGTTTCTTTAAAAAGCATTTTATCTATCTTCTTCAGTCCCAACAGCGCACCCGGACTGGTGAGAACACCCTAAAGAAAGAAGTCCATCCCTCCTGTCGGCTCCCCAGTTGGCGATGTCTCCAGCAGGCCCACGGCGGGCGTCGGTCACTTCAACCGCTGCACGATCACCGCGTTGAGGAGGTCCGCCTCCTTCAGCGTCAGGGACTCCTTCGTCAGCTCCCTGCTGGGGAAGGTGGTCATCAGGACGAAGTCGACGTCTTTCATGGCCGGACGCGCAGAGACCACAAATTGGCGGATATCGCTGATTCTGGAAAAGGGACAGAGGGGCGTCTCATTACACAGCGCTCTCCACATGCAAGGGGAGGTGTGAGGAAGTTAGCAGTAGCATCAGGTACCAGCCGAGGTCTCTAGCCTTGCACACCCCTCAGCATTACTGTTGGAAATGCACTGCAGAGTATAGGCGGCACAAAAGGAAAAGCAAAAAGGGTCGAATCCTACATGTTGGGAAATTCATCAAATATCAGATCAACAACAGACAATTAAAATCAAGCAGGGATCTATCAGAAAATAAATTTCATGAAAGTTACATTATACTCCGCAGATTACAGTACAGAGATCTCTGTGAGGCAGCTGACTTCTGTGTTTCTAGATAATTACTGTCCTCGAGCCTCACATTCCTTCATGAGCACTAGTTTTTCTTTGTGCTCTGTGGATTCTTTCAAAAATAAAAAAAGGAGTGAACTAAGTACAAGGATGAAACTTCTTTAACTCCAGGAACAGAAGTTTAAGCTTTTCAAAGCTACTGTAGGTAAACCAACTGGAGGCTTCACTGACGCTACATTATTTTTAGTGATGTAGGCTTTGTCATCTGGGAAAAAAAAGTGCTCTTTTGTTTCATTGTTACTACACGAACAAGAGCCCAAAGCTCAGGAACTCAGAAAGGTATCCAACAGTTGTGCCACTTTGTATCCTGGAGTATTATCCCTGGAATCGATTTGAAGGAAGGTGGGATGAGCTCCTGACCTGTGCGTGAGGTTGAATCTCTGGACCAGACGCCCCCCGTCAGCCAGTCGGATCTGGATGTTGGTGACGGGCTCCTCCTCGTTAATTATGATTTCGCTGGAGGCCTGGGCCTCGTCAGCTTCTCGCTGTGTCCCCACGATGGAGCCGATGACCTGGGGTGTTGCGCTGCAGGCACACACAGAGACCGAAGTAAATCAAGGTTTCTCCAACGCACCAGGTCAGTCTATCAACACAGCTCCCTGGAAGACCCACAGGCCAGAGTGCACTGACTCCGATCCTGCACAGCTGGTGCATCTCAGCTCTTAACATTTTAAGGAAACTCGCTAGTGTCTTTAATTGGCACCATTTACCAGTTTTTCCCAGCTCTTCAGGTGTTGCTGCTGCTGATGGCTTGAAGAAACAGCAGCCTGCTCTGGCAGGAACTGAAAGACCCTGCAGTGTGCTTATGGACGACGGCACCAGCCCTATCAACAGAATGTAGGACGGACTGGCTTAACTTTTAAAAGATCCCACGAAGTGTGGAATGGGCTTCATTGGAACAGCAACTTACAGCTCTGAAAATGTTGGACGTTTTCAAAGCCTAAGCAAAAAAACAGCTAATTTCTCTTCAAAAACTCAAACACAAACATTCTTCGGACAACTGTCTTTTATCCATCCACTCTGTATCAGAAAACCACCAATTTCTGTTGAGGGTCACAGCAGTCCAGAGTCATGAAAACACAAAATGCAGGGACAACACTCTGTCCAGGATGCTGTCTATAGCAAGGCTCACACACACACACACACTACAGGGATATTCCAGACACACAGCATGGCCAGCATGTCTCGGGACTGCAGGAACAGACACCAGCCAAAATCCCTGCAAACCCCATTCCGAAGGTGACCCGAGTCATGAACCACACAGGATTCAAGAGCTGCAAGGTAACAGCACTAACGACCATGCCATGGTGATACCACCATCAGTCATCAGGTGCAGATCTTTTATTTAAGAGTTGTAGGAAGTCCTTTACGATGGTCAAATAAAGGAAAGGAACACGTCAAGAAGCCTAAACACTTGACCAGTTTTGTAACTGCTGTCCATTGCAATGGGAAGTGAACACCCCCTTGTGGCCTTCTGATGCAACAATGCTTTTCTTTTGGCAAAAACCAAGAAACTTTAAAAGGTTACAACAGGCAAAATAAATAAGTCATTTCATCCATTCATTCATTCATTTTCTAACCACTTTATCCAACACTGGGTCACGTGTGGAGCAGAAGCCTATCCCAACATGCAACAGGCACAAGACGGGGTACACTCTGGCTCGTACCAGGGCCAGGTTTCCCAGAAGCCGATTTAACCAACCAGCACGTCTCTGGATCCGTTGGGAGGAAACCGGAGCAGCCGCAACAAAAAAAACATATGAACGTGGAGCAGCAATGCTACCCACAAGCCTCATTCTTATCAAGAACATCACCCTCACTCATGGATGGGACAGCCAGGCCAAAGACGGGAGCTCCTGCAGCTCACCTTCCCAGCTTCTTGCCCTCCCCAGCAAAGGCCTTGAACATGGTCTTGGGCTTGGAGAAGTCCTCTTCCCGGTGGTCCTCCATGTCCAGGTTGACCTGGCCTCCTCGGGCCAGCCGCCTCAGCTCCACGGGGATCTCCCTGCAACAAGACGCCCCCCCGCGCCCCCGTCACTCCACAGCACTGACGCCCGCGCCCTCCCAGGCACGCCGCGCAGGCAGTGAACACGCCATCAAAACAGGAACACCCCAAGTCCCTCAGATGGGCGGCGGCTTTCGTAAAATAAAGATGATCTCTGACTGCCAGCCTCCTCTGCCAAACCTGCCAGCAGCCACAGGTGAAAACGACTGTCATCTTGCCCTTTGTCAAACTAAGACGTGTACTTCGGCCACGTCACGGTCCATTCTCCTGTGATTTTTCAAGTGCCAATGAGCGGTTTACAATGTTATCTCTGAGAGGTCATTTCTTGTCAATCAAGGTTTCTTTCCAAATCCGTCCTGGTGGACGCTGCGCGACAGCTCGGGCTGCCCCATGTTTTAAACCAGGTCGCAATGACGCATTCCGACAGGCCACGCCAGCAGCCCAGCGAAAGCCGGCGCCTTCCTCACCCTCTCCGGATGGACTCCAGGAACTGGGAGTTTTCAGGGTCGGAGTAACTCCGCAGTTCTCCGTTGTCTAGGCTGAAGCCCGTCTTCCACAGCTTCAGGACCACGTGCACCTGTCGGGGCAACAACACTGCCTTCACTGCATGAGCCGGAACAATGCATGGCTTGTCGCCCGACGACAGCAACGATCCACGATCCAGGTCCAGGAGGACACCGTGTCTGGTGCTTTCTGTGCCAGCTGGGCCCTTAATCTCCTGTGCTAAATGCTGCTAGTAATTGAGCTGTTTTACACTGAGGCCTTGGTTTCAAATAATAATTATTACCCCATTACAGAGGTTCTCAGTCCTGCCCCTTATCTCCTCTAGCTTTTTGAGCCTTTCTTAAAATTTGCCTTCAGCTGTTTAAACCTGAATGAGATCTGTAATAGGTATAAACCCTGTACTGATTTACATGTTTCAAGAAGCCCTCATTCAGGTATGCGATCTTGAGTGGAAGGAAAAACACTGACTTACAAAGGGCATGTGTGATAAGTCTCATTCCCGCCTATCTGTTCATCGATTGGTCATTTCTTAAGAGCAGTTAAGTCAAAAAATAAACGATCGTTCTGCAAATTGAGGAGAGAGTACACACACAATTTCTGTGTTCTTACGTTGTTGGAAATACAGAACTTTTATTTTTGAAACCAAAGACTGAGTATAAAAAAAGGTCCCAAAACAGCAAACAGATGAGTTATGACACCGATTAGCACTTGTGATCAGGAACAAAAAAAACACCAGACAGAGATACCTCACTGGACTACAGGAAACATGTGCCAACCAAAATTGTTGGGAGATATAAAACTGATTTACTGCAATACGTATCTACAAACATAGGCTGCATCATGTTGAATTAGTTATTTGACCTAAACAGCAATGAGAAATATAAATGATAAACCGATAGTTAGCGGTGTTAAGCACTATTGATCACTGCGAGCGATATGCATATGGAATATATATGTATAATGAGTCACTGTAGTCGTCATATTCACTCAATGTATCAAGCTTAGTTTTGACAAAAGAACACAAGTGTTCATAGGGATGAAAGCCTGAAGCTGTAGTTATAGCTCTAGGCTCCAGCGGCCCGCTTCAGTTTGAGAGAAAATCGTATCAGTTACTTTCGGTTGGCTCACCCAATACACACACACACACTCTTTTTAAAAGAATGTCACTCTTGGCCTTGGCATAAACTAAACAAAATCCAAACCCTTCAGTTTCCCCCTTAGATGCCAAAACTAAATCCCACAATTCTGCATTAGGCTTCCGGAGGAAAGCGAGTATTTGAACTGAGGTACTAACTGCAGGCACATTTCTTTTTGTTGTCTTTGTTGTTGTTGTTGTTCACAAAAACTTCAAATGTTAAAAAAAAGAAAACCTAGCAATTAATTTCCAGCACCACATCAAGCGGTGTCGGCAATTAATTCATCCCAAATGAAGGACCTCCGGATCAAAGGCCAAGCGCCCCCCCGGGCAACGAGGAACAAGGGGACTCACGTCCTGCGCCGACTCCGACTGCTTCCTTTCCCCAGCGACGTAGGCGGACTCCTCCCCCGATTCGGTGCCAAGGCGGTACCCTCCTCCAGCGAACGGCTGCAACACACAGGGCAAGAGGGGCGCGGGGTTAGAGCCGGGGCGCGGGGGGGGGATTGCAAAGCTTTCTGCGGGTGCGCCATCTGTGAGGGGCGACCCCCGCGGCAAACAGACTTGCATCTGAACCAGAAAGGAGACGGCTTCGCTACGCCGCCACGTTAACGTCAACATGGCGATGACCGTTGCCAGATACGGCCTCACCGTCGGGGTGGCCCGCTTTTGCCGATGGGTCTCACAGCGGCTAAAAAAAAAAAACCCTTGGGAGGTGGGGTGGAGACCGAGATACTTTTAGACAGAGCCTACCGCCTCCATGTACCGATGTTTCTCTCACTGGCAGAAGAGCGATCAAGAACGTGAGCTTGGCTGCAAATGAGAGGAGGCAACTCTGTAGCCTGTGTAGCACACCTGAGCCGGACTCTGGTTCCACAACAAACGGGGAAACACGCTTACAAAGCACGAGGCTGCCTGAAAGGGCTCAAAGAGCAGAGGAGTACAACTGCAGAGAAAGCATTTTTTTTTTTTTTTTTTTTTCCCCCAGGGATGCACAGAAACGGAGAAGAGGGTCCGGTTTTCCCTACCCGTGCCCTGCTGGACTCCCCGGGGCCTTTGGAGGCTCTTTCCACTGGAACAGCACCGTGCTCTTTGGCCCCCTTGAACAAGTCTTCCACCACCTCATTGGAGCTCTTCTTCTTGGGAGGGCCTACAATCTGCTGGCCACTCCTCTCAGAGCCCCCAGCATAAAACCTGCAGTGGGCAAATAACACAGATCAGCCTCAGGCTTCCACCCAAACAGACACCACACCCAATGAACACGCAGGGGCAGCAGGTCCTTTAATGGCTTTCACCCACACTGCTAGAAGATCCAGCTGACTTATCCCCTGCAAAGACTGAGCCCCAAGTAATCAGACTTAAAAACGGTGAAGAAGGAGTTAGGCATATGATTCAGAACAGCAGAAGACCAGCTTGCTGCAGAAACCTGACCTCGGCAAGGAAGGAGAGAAAAAAACAGTGCAAAACATCAAGAGACTTTGGCGATTCGACACATTTCAATGTTCAGCTTTGTTTTCATAAAAGAAACACTTCCCCCAAACAACAACAACAGCAGCAGCAGCAGCGAGTACACAGCAGGTTCCGGAGCTCCAGTCAGAATAACGCATTATCACTGTCAACAGAGTTTTACAAAGAGATGGTCTGAATACTGCCACTCACACCATTGAACTCACTAAGGTGACACCACTATAACTTCATTTTCAATAACTTAACAGAACAGTATTACAGAATTATTTGTCAAAATGGTGTAGTTAAAATGGAAACATACACATTGACAGATGTACTCGAGCACAAGAGAGACCTGCCAACATAAAGTAATCGCTGGACTAATGAAAGAAATGAGCAACAGATATGGAGACATCCAGCATCTTCCCAAAGTAGTTCTGGGAAAACAATGTCATGAGTTTCATTTCTTTCTGTCACTCATACCTTTGGCCTTCTTCTTCATCACTCTCCTCTTCATCCTCATGCATTAGATCTCTGAAGGATGTAACTCTGTGTTCACTGTAAAGAGAGCAGAGTAACTTTAATAAGACCCTCCCTCCAAAAAAAAACCTCAGACCTTTTTACACTGACTTTTTAACCCAGCCAGATCGGTTTTAGCTTTTCCAGCCCAGCAGAGGAGGCAGCTGTTACCTAGGAGCTGTAGACCTTGAGGTAGAACTGCCCTCTGGTTGCGGGAGAGTGACAATATCATCATCGGCGCCATCTTCGAAAAAGCTAGCGAGGGCAAGCTGTGGAAGGATGGGAAAAAGAGCCGTGATGCAGCGCTGCTGAGAGAATATTAAGGCACAGAGAAAGCAGAAACGGGACACCACTAACTGCTTGACACTGAACAGACTGGTCCCAGAAAAACCTGTTCACAGTTCACTTTGCACACTGCTCATTTTATTGCTGTCCTCAGTTCAACAGCAAAGCAAAGACAGAACACCTCAAGTCATACGATGAATTGCTTTTCATCAGAGATTAAATGAATCAGCTTAATCAACTTGAGCATCAAAACCGCCCAGTTTCATCACATGGTCTTTTAAGGTCTCTTTGAAACACTGTTACCTGAAGACTTTGGGGAAGCTGAATAACCGATCCAATTAAGGCCATGACCAATTAGGCCATTAAAAGTTAAGCTAGAATGAAAACCTACAGACATACCAAGCATCCAGGACCAGAGCTGGTCTTTCCCGTTCTGAAGGAAATCTCATAAGAAAACTGTGGATGCTTAAAACTTGCAGCTTCCTACTCGAAAGGAATGTTAATGTAAATAATATTTCACTCTGAAAAGAAAGTTGCTCGTCAGCATCTGGGTGGTTCAATTAAATAGTTAATTCAAAATTCGCTCGCTTCTTTCTTCTTTTCAGCGTGTGTTTATTCCTTAAATTTCCGTTTGCAAATTTAATGTTGTCTCGTTAAAACAAGACGAAATTATTGAAGGGCATCATACCTACAGATATTTGGATGTGACAACACGTATTATAATCCTTATATAGACACACAAAAGTGTATCTTCCAGAACGACCATTCACGTAGCAAATTCCTCAGACTTTGAAGCAGAATTACGAAAACGCAAACACTTTTTGGCAAACGTGGTGCTCTACCTTTCACTTCATGCGTAAACTAAACGTGAAATAAAAGAGTAAAATCACAAAGACGTATTCTGTTAGGCTAGACCAGTCTCCCATAACTTAATTTAGCTGGGAAAAACGAAACTACTTAACAAAACGAAAATATGAATAAGATTACCCAAAAAAGTGTCTCAGTTTCGATTGTCTAGTTTTCAACATTTTTTTTATTTTTTAATCTCACGAATGGCTAATCTATTCAATTTGAAAGTAGTGTCCAATTTAGTCTTAACCAAATTCACGTCCTCTACTCCAAACCTCAGCTCTTGAAAGATGGGGTTTTATATTTATACTGTAATGAAATTTTTCCAGCAAAGCTACCGGCGCTTTGTATAAAGAGTGACTTGCAAATTCTACAACTACAGCGGTTTCGCCTTGGATGTTGTGACGATTTTCAAAGAGAGAGGGGAGGGGTGGTCTTTGTCATTCTCCTTTTGACATTAAACAACACGAACCCCTACTTCTAAGTTTTGAATTGCTGAAATCAAGGAAGCCCTACCTGTAAATCCCAGCCTGCAGACTCGAGGAAAAACCGGGCCCGCTCTTCCTCTACACCTGTAACTGTAACAAACTCCCTCACTGAATCCTCTCGGTCAGCCATTTTGGTTTGACGCACTGAGAGTCCGTCCGCCGGGGGGAAACAATCGACGCCGTGACTGTGGTTCCTATTGGCTACGGGTCGTCTTAAGACGAAACAATCCCAAACCTATCTATTTCAATAAAATAAAAAATAAAACAAGATAAAACACAATCAAAACAATATATTACACAAACTAACTACATCTATTTTACATTTTACTTCTCATTGTATTGCAGGCCGTTTCCGCAGAACACTATAAATACAATAATTTATGAGGCCGGCGAAGAAGAAAGACGGGGGAGCACCGGGAAGCACGCTTTGCCTCATGGGAGTTGTAGTTTATTACCTTGAAAATCACTAAAACGGATCAAACTTAACAGTAAAAACAGAAAACAGAATAAAAAGTCATCAACATATTTTCTACATAAGCACTATTATTATAGCACATTTATTGGAATATCAAATGACCATTCGCTAAACAAAAAATGAGTGCAGAGGGATTATACTACCACCTAAACTAGCTGTGCCTTTACTTTTAATATTTTAACAATGTTTCTGTTACACGCGCCTAGAAAACCAAATTGTTTCCGAATTCCTTACACATAATGCCTTTGAAATCAATTACAAAAACTGAATTTCTAATTCCATTTGTTGTGATATTTCTAATTAAAGACAAACGACCACCTCTCGCCGTTAACAGACCACACACACTTCTGAATCACTCGTGATTTTTACACATTTGTGCAATTGTTTGAGAGTTACTTGATTCTAAATGGATTCTGATGCAATTGATACTCGTTCAAAAATCCACCTTCAGAAAAATCAGCAGTTCTCAGTTCAGAAAAACATCATGTCATATTCTCATATCAACCCAAGAAAAAATATCAGTTCATCAAACCGAACTGCTAAACTCCAGTTTCTGAAAATAAACTGGTAACAGCCATTACTCATAATGTCCACTAGGGGGCAGCGCTGTTTCAGCACTACCTCGGAAAGTACTTTTTTGATTAACAAAAACAAACGAGAACATGCATAAACACTGCAACCAACAGTAAAGTACCAACACAGTACAATATAATTTTATCTGAAGCTCATATAACACTAGTTCAATACACATAAATGCAGAATACACTGTATGTGTATTATGTCAATAAACGTGCATATTTCTAACAGCTGTTGAAATCATTGATTGGATCCTCTAGGGATTTGCTTTATTTATTCGATCTGTTCGCAATACACTGAAATGCGAGTATCCTGTATTTATCTGGCACAGTGGGTTTACGCAGAGTCGTTCAGTGGTTTGCTTCACTGCATTGAAGCCGGGGAAAAAAAGCAGCGTTTTCTGAATCGGAGTAAAATAAACATAATTAATCAACAAGCACAGGCAGGGATCTGGTTTGAAATGTATCCCAATTAGTTTGCCCGGCGCAATACAGACACAGACATGAGTCTAGAGGTTGTGGATAACTGGACGCTCCCACAGCGTGACAAAAGGTACTTTCAATTCCACCTCATTGGGTTTTGCTGGAAAGGTATTCTTCATACCAATACAGTGCAGCACTTATTTTATCTGAGAGCCAAAGAGGCGTCTGGTTTGCCAGTATGTGATGACAAGCGATGAACGCGGGTAGACACCTAGTATTTCGACATGTTATGATAACGTTTTCACAGGATTGAGTCAGATCTGTCAAGTAGGGAGTAATTAACTTCGGTCTTTCCAGCAGGCTGAATTTGTTGCTTACAGGGCTCCAGTTTTTCACAATGGGCACATACCCCCAGTAATAACACACATGGTGAGTAAGATGCTCAGAAAGCTGGTTGCTTTTCTTAGCCTTTGTTTGATGTTGACATAATCTGCTGTCCTGACGAGAGAGAGAGAGAGAGAGAGTGCAGGTCACTACCACCCTATATTCCAGTATCAATCCAGTATAGAAGTTCCCATTTACTGTATATATATTCTTGAAACCTTTGGCCCTTACATCAATGAGATTTGTAACATCTTTTTTTTTTCTTTTGAATCATGCATTTGTTCTTACAGACACTGATATCATCACAAACAGATAGAAAACTGAAATAAATGTCCTTTTTAACTGAAAACAGGAGACATACAGGGAGTCATTTTCGATCAGAATGCGCCAATAGCAGCAGCCGCGGTCCACCCGGCCGGTTATTTTGGAAAGCACTCCTACAGCGCTATATCGAGCCCACGGGGGAATGCGTGGCGATGCATGCATGGCCCGGCCGTCTCCAGCTGGAAGATAAATGAATGCTCTTCGCTGTAGTTTTGAGGACAGACATTACTGTGTATGAAAGTCAAATCACGGCAGTTGCTTCATAAATAAGTCGACGCTGTTCAGGGATAATAGCACCGTTGGCAACATATTCCCACACGATGGAATGCGCCCACAAAGAGAATTCTAAAGGGAAACGGTCAAATGAAGGAATGAAGCGCGATAACAGGCGCAGTGTTATGCAGCTCTCCCACAGTGGAATGCGAGATATGCGCAGTGGAGCTACAGAACAAAACGGCATCGCACCTATTTCTCTCCCCACACACACACACGCTGCATGTGTTCCCAGGCTGACACCCAGCGGCCGCTTCCTGGAATCACAGATCACTGGATTAGCAGACGCGCAAAAGAAAGCCGGTGTCTGGTTGCATTAGCGCAGCAAAGCTGGCCGCAGATTTTTTTTTAAAAAGCCATTCAAAACCCTTGACCTGTACTCAATGCGGTATTTTTGTCCGCCGGTCTACCAGCGCGGTCACGTCAGTGCAGCAGGGCCGGGCTGAGCTGTGACGCTCACAGCCGGAAAGTTTTATCAACCTGACGACGATCATCAATAGGTGGTTGATATGAAGGATTTACCAGAAAAAACAAAACAAAACAAAACAAAACAAAACAGTACGTTGTTTTTTTTTAATATAGTTCAGATAACGTGGAATGTCTAAAGCAGATGCTGTAAGAGGTGCCGTTCTGGCCCACGGGAAAACTTAATCTGCACCAGATACTGTACACCTGCAGAAAGCCGGCAGTGCAAGAGAATCAACAATTTCAGCGGGGCTGGCATAATATCATAACACTCCCACTGTCTCTCTGCAGCAACAAGACGTTGACAGCATGACTCAGGATGAGGAAATACAAACGTCAATATTTAATCATGTCAGAAAGGAGCCGGCAGGGCGGCCACGGGTACGAGATGCATGCAGGTAAACACATCTCGAGGACCCGAGAAGAGACGAGAGAGCTCATTCATGGGTTCCTAATAAAACCCTCCCATCGGCCGCTCGAAGCAGGGGCGATAGTCTCTGACCGGAAACGGCTGTTGTAGCGCCCATTCACAAAAAGGGTGAAGAAACAAAGCGTTTACAGGTCAACGAGACATACGCGGATTGCACGCCAGGTTATGGAAACAATAACACGTAACTGTAGGGTAACCTGCAGGCAATACGACTCTAGGGGTGTCAGCGTGGATCTAGACGATCTAGACCGGGCAGATCTTGTGTAACCTGAATCCACAGTCAGGCACAAACCAGAGGACAGCAATGGAAACGGATGTGAAGCCTCTTTACACAGAGGGTTGTGGGAGTTAGGAACAAGGTACCCAGCTGCTCAGATTTCTTTCAGTTAGCTACCCAGCGACCACACGAGCGAAACAGACCAAATGGCCTTTTCTGGTGGGTAAGCCCTTTTTTATGTTCTTCTTATTGCACACTGCAAAACTGTGATACATGAATGAGATGGCATAAATCAGGAGCTCTGTTACAACACAGACAAGCCAAATTATTGTCTAAATCCCTCTTGCCTTTGTGTTCAGAGCCTGGCAGTGAGCAGAAGGGTGGGTGATATCTGCTGGAGTGATTCACATCTGCGAAACGCCTTAATACCAGCAGCGATGAGCTCCTGCAGCTCTTCCACGCTCCAGCAGGACCTACGCTGACGATTGCACCACTCCCCTGCAGGCCCAGACTCCTAAACTATTCCTCTGTCAGCACACACAAAGACAGCAAGTCATTATGTTATTAACAAAATAAGCACGTATCCATTTACAGGCTGATTTACAATGTATTTCATTTTTGTTACAGAGGATAATAAAGAGCCGTCAATATAAAATAAGCACATCATTTCTATGGTAACAGGACAGATTTGTCTATAGAAACATGCTGCTATTAACCAAAATACAGCCACAGAACAATGAGCACTGAAGTTCTGTTCAATCCTAACCTCTTGTCTGTAAGCGTGCAATTAAGGTATTTCTCCTACTGTCACAACATTAGGCATTGCACTAGGAAAAACAATCCTTAGTGCATAGATTGTCTGTTACATTGGATTAAAAAAGGATCTGATTGCTCCCATTTGTGCTTGCTAGGACTGTGAGGGGCTCACTTTCGCAGACCTGTAAAACACATGCATGTTGTTCTGATGATATAATCCAGGGGCGCCCAGAGCTCTCAGGGCAGAGTTCTCAGTTCCTCTTCTGACCTGTAAACTGTGCCTCCCAGTTCCCACAGAACTCAAAACCCCATTGAGAAAGAAACAGGAAGAAACGTGTTCAGTTTTCACCTGATGTTTGCTCGTTTGTCTTCATACACAAAATTGCAAACAAGAGAAAAACACCTGGGGCATCTCTGCACTTTGTGATCTCTCTGCTGTTGTCATTTTAGTGGCCTGGCAAATAGACCTGACCTTTACACTGAGTCTCTGGCCTGCAGCCTCCCTCAAAGAATACTGGAAGCTGCAGACATCCACTGCAGGGTCTGGCAGTCAACATCGTTATTCATATCACACAGTCATTTCTCTCCGGATGGCAGTGCATGGGAGATGGGGGCTGGTGAACAATTCTCTGGGTGGCTGAAGACTGACAAAATCACTACCGTTCTTGTATTCCCACAGCTCCGACTGGCTGTGGCCTGATTGGCTGGTGTGTCATCCTTGGTCTGGAGCGCTGTTCCTGCAGCAGCACTCCTGTGCTCTGTTCCAGTTTTCACAAAGGGAAGCTCTTTTTCAGGTGAGGGGTGTAGTCTGCTGTGCGATACCGTGCTATAAAATGTTGTTTAGATCGCAGAGAACAGGGAGTCGTTGAGTTAGTCTTGTCAGGCAGGCAGTAAGATGATTGGGTGCTAGTTAGCTATGTGTTAGCTCTCCAAACCAGCACCTGCTGATGACTAAACACTGTGACTGCTTGCCTTTAGAAATAGTATCCAGATGTTCAGCATATACAACCTAGCAATGCTGTTAGGTACCGCAGGGATAGAAGGTAAACTGTTGTACATTTAACCCCTGTGGGATCAGTCCCAATGGGCTGTGCAAAACATCAGTCCCTGTAGGTGACCGTGCCGATAAGGCACTGACCATCCTGAGCTTCAAGTCTCTAGCCAGCCTCTGTATTAAAAGCATGCAAGCATAAAATGCTCACAGCTCGTAAAACTTAGTGAGGAGAGCATTTTAATTATTCCTGAGGGGGAAACAGATGGATTTTCTAATGCATTTGTGCCTGTTTAGTCTTCAAGGATAATTAACTATGGGTAGAAACCTTTTATTCCAGCTATATATTTATTACCTGTTGTGAGGTTTACTGCCTGCCTCCCCCTTCCTTTACCCTAAATCTGTCTCTTCTCAAGCCCTCAGCTTTGTCTGGGGAAACAGCGTACTCACTAGTGAATGAAATCCTGAAATCATGAATGATTTCAGGCTTGTCTGCATTCTGAGGTGCTTGGTGTTTTCTCACCCTACTTCGCCACATACTGAAATCAACTGTCACCCTCCCTCGTGAAAAAGAGGCTACAGGTGAAAGGAGGCCATTCATTCCATCTGGCCAGGTGGTAGTTAGTAGTTCATCCTTCCTCATCCAGGTGTTTCTGCACAGGAGCCAGGCTATCGGCCTCAACTACATGGCTGGGCAGCTGGTTCCATACTCCCACCACCCTTTGTGTAAAGGGTTCTTGAATTTAAATGGACTTCCACGTAGTTTCCGCGTGGGCCCACTGGTCCGTGTTTCACTGTTCATGCGGAAGTCAGTCCTCTGGTTTGACTGACTCGGTGTCAGTGGAACTTCGGCAGACTTGGGAAGATGTTATGTTATCAGCGGCACGTCAGCTGTCTCCTGTGACTTTGCTGCCAAGGCTCTGTGTTCTGGTGCACTGGTGAAAGCTGTGAAGCTTAGTTTGAGATGACTGACCAATGTGAGAATGGATATCTCAAGTGTAAACACTATAGCCAAGCAGTAAACACTACAGGGAACACAGGAGCACGCAATCTTGTAGACTCTGTCAAAGGCTTTGATAGACTTTAGCGGATATGATAAGGATTTCTGAGAGACTTAGTCATAATACCTCTATGAATTTTAAGTTTGAAAGTTTTTTTTTCTTCATTTATACCCTTACAAATACTGTATGTATTTTTTAGTTATGTGTGCGAGTCTGGAGAACTTCTGTAAAGGTGCACACTAAGTCACTTTCATCTTCTAGCAGAGCACAGCCGGGCTTGAGGAGGGGATGCAAGGAGTACACCTACCTCACTCCACCGTTACTGCAGGACAGGAGACCGGTCAGTCCCAGCAGTGACGAAGGACAGGGGAAAAGGCTCTTCTGAGCAGCAGCACCTACCCATGTGTATGGAAAGACAGAAACTGAAGCACAGTGACAGAAGGGAGGAAAGGGAAGGGAACTACTATAAGACACATCGTCAGCTAGCAACAAGCTGCACGATCTCCCTGTCCTGCTGCCCCCACCAGACTCACACTACAGGCCTCTCCTGGCAATGAGTATGTTTGCACACAGCCACTTTCTGATGAGTTCACATTTGGATGCTAATCCATACTGTGGATGTAAAACATGGCTCAGACTGCACAATCAGGGGCTTTGCTGTGCCACCTCCCCTTTGAAAGAGATCTTTGTTCTCCCCAGGGTGGAACATAACCCTTCTGTTAGCTGCGCTTGGTTAATTGTTATTAACTAGTGCTATTACTAGTAGTGTTTTAATGTTATTGCTGTCGAAAGGGTATTTCTGGTGTCTGAGCACTCTGGTGTCTGACACCAGCACCAGAAGGTGGGCTGATGTCCTCTGTAAACACTACTGGGGGTGTCACCAGACTCTCCGCCCAGCAGCCCAGCCACGGGAAAGCTCTGGGGTTGGCAGACTGTCCTCCCCTTCACTCTTCTGAAGCCACAGGGATTTGTAGTCTGATATTGAGCTTAATAAATGTCAAGCATGCTGATGGAGAGGACTATAGCCCAGGTGGCAGAGTTCAGACTAATCCTCTATTTGTCTGATGTGAAAAAAAGACACACACAGTGTGTACTGTATATATGTAACTGCAGAAACCAGAGCTCCTTCTCCTCCAGGCGGTCTAATGGACTCTGTCGTCCCCCGTGTTTGGAGCTGCTGCACAGAATCAGGGAGTGCTAGGCCTGGGAATGTAACTGGCTTTGTTGCAGGCAGGTCGGAGCAGGGTACTGGAAAGCTACTGAGTAGGGAATATTATGTTCAGCTTGCAATATCCAGCCTCTCCAAGCCATCACCTAGCCAGAAGCAGCAGGCTAGATAATGTTTTTCTTTGATTGCTCTATGGGATTTAAACCTCTGCCGCAGCCCGAGCGAGCGATTTTTCCATAGAAAAAATAATTCAAACAAAATGTGGAGAAGAATGACGCGGAACCTTGCCAGGCTGCAGCTGAAATTCTTTTGAGAATTTCATACCAACCTCCGAGCATCCCTTTCTTGCTGCGAAATCTTTCCTGAGCTGACGGAGTGCCAGTCTGAGTGACTGTCATTGTCCATGAGGAGCCCAGCTGTGCTGTGATGTTACAGCACCATCAGCCACCACCTCAGTCACGGCACCTTGACAGTGCTCTCCCGTCTTTCCGTAGGACCTTCCCTTTATTTCCTAAGAGACAGATTGAGGTTGTGACTAGGGGTGATTCTGCCATCATCATCTAAGTGTCCTCTTACTGAGAGATGATGAGACCTGGGTGGGAATCTAAAGGCAGATGCCCTCCAGGGAGCTGCTCTCCAGGGTACATTTACCCTGCCTGAAAGGATGACATCAGGGTACATGTGTCTATCAGGCTGTGATACTCATCTCACATCCCTGCAGCTCCTGGCCTGAGCATTGCCCTAGGGATGGTGGGGGCAGAGAATGGCTGAAGTCTCACACCTGCGCACCCATTAATAATATTGCCTCTGTTATTACTGCTGTCCCTGCTGCTTCTACAGGGGTTGTTTCTTCTACTTCTAGTTTCACTACATAATGTCCACTGTGGACTTTTAAATTTGGGCTTCCTAAAGTTCCCTCTGAATGCTGTGAAGCCATTTCAGCCATTTCTCACATTGACCTAAACTCTATAGGAATTACAATCCTCTGGGACGAAAACACTATAGAAAAGCCAGGAATTAGTATTATCTTACATTGCTGTTAGTAACACTACTCCTAGTATTATTATTAGTCCATAAATTGCAGTATTTATTACTGCAAGTACTACAGCTGCTACTAATGCTGCTAATAATAAAAAAGTAAGCAATGTTTAAAAGCAAAATGTTATACACTACTGTTTAGAGTTCAGATGCCCTGTAGTGGGTTGTCTTCCCTAATAGTGAATAATTGGAATTATTTGTGATATTCAGTGTTTTTGCTAAAAATCATCTTAAAAGCAACTAATGTGGGATGTCAGGAGGAACAGAAGTGTTGAATTACAAAATCAATTCTTCTCTAAAGCAGTTTTCTGACTTTATTAAACTCGAAACAGACGGAACTTTGGCTTGGTAATCAACACTGCCACCTCCCATCTCCAGTGTACTGTGGGAATTCGGGCTCAAGGTATCTGTCTGTGTGGAGTGTGCATGTTCTCTCTGCTTGTGCATAGTTTCCCCCGGCAATTCTGGTGGGGGGTGGCCATGTGCTCACTCCTGCTTTGCATCCTGTGCTGCTGGGATAGGCCCAGGCTTTCCGTGACTCCAATCAGGATAAGCAGCTTACCGACAGTGGCTGAATGGATTTACAGGACTGCACTAAGCTTTCACCTGTATAGCAGCTGCAGACGCATTGAGAATGACAAAGGAGTTTGCACTGGAAATGCAAGAGTTAAGTCTGGGGGAGTTCATGAGATATAGGTCAGCAGAAAATACTCAAGGGCAGACCGTCTGTCCAAAGGACAGGAATCTCACATGATTAAGAGAAACAGAAAAAAAAGGCAAGTGGCCATGAAGCTGGATTATAGCCATGATAAGAGAGCTCTGCACAGTGAACAACTGCATCTGCAGTTGAAGGCATATAACTGCAAGAAAAATGGGGAAGAAAATGAGTATTGCACCACACTCTGAGGCTCTGTGGTGGGGTATCATGACCGTAGGCTTGTGCCAAACAGTCATTCCTCCCCTCTCCTCTAATGCTTCCTAAAATACGTTCTGCCTTGTGAATCACTAGTTCTAGTCGAAAACAACAGTTAAAAAATGGAAAGAAGGAAGAGCAAAGTGTGAGAAGTATGGGACAGGTAAGAGGCAAAGGAACAGGAAGCAGGAGACGATAGATACCAGCCCTTCAATACCAGTGTGTGCTGGAGCTTGAGGAAAACTGCCCAACCCCCCCCGGTCTGTGTCCCCTTCATTTTTCAAACTGACACTTTAATCAGCACGGAGGACAGCCCAGGCAGGGGCCCTGACACTGAGCTACAGCTCCACGGTTAAAGGCTACAGTGGCTCTAATGGGAAGATTCAATGTTAAATAATGCCAGTAGACTACAGATCGGCAAGGGGGGTTGGATGCTTTGTGTATAAACAAAACCTTACAGTGGGAATGTCAGAGGTGTCATTTTTCCTGCGCCTTTTGATTCAAGTTTTCTCTTCTATTAATAAAACCAAGCAAAAAGTCCAAAGCTACATCAAAGTAAGGAAATTAAGAAATGCCCATTTGCAACTTGCAGATTGTGCTCTGGTCTATAAAGCGTTTATCTATTTTGCAAACTTCAGAACAGCTTTTCCAAGTTCCACTGAATGCATAAAGGCTACTGCTGCGAAAATTAAAAAGGAGTTACCTCCGGCGTTTCCCATGACATGAGTCCCTATGGCCCATCTGGCTAGTTGTTGCTGGTTTAAGAGGATTCTTCAACATCTCCATCACATTATGTGTCAGATGCAAGCTGGGCTTTGAGTAATTTAATCTTCCTCTCACTGACCCCAGGATTAGAAAAACTGTGCCTTAACAGGCCTGTAACGCTCTCCCACATTCTGTACCATTTCTGGCTGATACAAGGAGACAACCATTCAAACTGTGTGGATGAGAACAATCCCCAGACTTCCTCCTGCACTGACCACACTGCACTGCTTGTCCTAGATGCACTGCTGGACATCCAGTGTGTGGTCAGAAATGGAAAGGCAAAGTAGGTTTGCAAAGGAACAGATAAAGGTTTATTGCCCGCTGAAAAGGACAAGAAAAGTAACACGTTTTCGGCTGCAGAGCCTTCTCCAGGTGTCAGTAGGTTGAAGAAGGCTCCACAGCCGAAACGTTGTTTTTTTTTCTCTTGCTTCCCGCAGGGAATATACCCTTACCTGTTCCTTTACGGTCTACGCCTGCTGATGCAGCTCCTTCCTCGAACTTCTAAAGTCGGTTTGGTCTCACCAGTGTTTTGTCAGTAAGCTGCACCTCACAAGGGAGCTGAGAAAAAGTCTAACACTTCAGATCAGGAATTTCATGGCAAAAGACCAGCGATACCCATGTTGTGAATTTGTTATGGAAAAACACTGTGTTTTAGTGATGAGCAAACATCATCGTTTTATAACCAAAGAGGCGACTTGATTTCCCTTATTATGAAACACCATGCGTCACCGGTCCTGAGTGTAGGAAGGTGCCGGCTTCTGTGTGAAGCAGCCAGCCCTGCATCTCTGTGTTCCAGCTCCCGATCAAGTTGAGAATCAGCTGGGAACATGAATGAACCAGGCATCAGCAAGGGGCCGATGAAAACACTGCTGGGTTGACCAATGCCCAGCCTTGCCTCCTGGGGCTCTCGATTGAACAAGGCGTTCCTGAGCTTAAAGCAGACTTGCTGCCTCATGCACGAGTGCACAAGTGCTGGCAGGACAGTCAAGAGCTGCAGGAGGAAACCGGAGTCGCTGCGCTGCGCCGCCCCTCTCGTCTTGGGAGACAGGCTTCTGCGGGCGGGCAGTTTGTCACAACAAAGATGGCCAAGGCCAAGGCATGCTTTGCTCTCGAAAGGAAGGCCCCCATGGGTGGCAGATGAAGACAGCGGGTTCCTTGAAAAGGGGTGCAGAGCTGTCTTTCAGGGCCCCTTAGCGCAACGGCCGCGGTCCGCTGCACTCTTTGATGGTCTGCTTTTGCATCACGGAGGTGACAAGGCTCTACTGAGACACCTCACGGGGGCCAGGTTGACACTTGAGACAATTTGCACTTCAATGGGTGAGGACGCAAAAATTAAAATCATCCGCCGTGTCTCGCGAGGAAACTCTTCAAGCGTATGGACCGCAGATTGTCATTTATTGATCTTTTTTTTTAAAGCGAGAGAGAAATGACCACTGACAGCGATTTGCGATTGGAATCTGCTTGTGTTCACATTTACTAAATGTGATGGAAGTCCTACAGACATTTCATCTAAACAGGGAACTTGTGGAAGTGAGAAAACTGACCATGAGACGCATCTGATACATGAGCAGTAACACCTTGCTGGAATCGGGCTAAAGGCTAGTTGTCAGACTGTGATAACAGTGTCTTAAACGTGTTAAACACACCGTATAAATATAAGGGCTCATACAATCTTTTGGATCAGTGACAGTGATTATTGTTTGTTCTCTTATTTTACTTATTAGAATATATTGTCTCCCTTTTCTGTTCTGTACAGTTACACATCGAAAAACAGGAACATTGGAAACTATTTCAGCTATGTAATTTTTATTTTTTGAAGCAAATCAGATACCTCCCCCAGTGTGAATCACTCTCTTAATGGGAAACAAATGAAGGAGGTGAAGCTATTCAGCCACTGCTTGTCCACGAGTAGCGTCAATAAAAGCGTGTTTAGAGGAAACTGAGCAGGACACAGTGGCTTCCTTTTGTGGGGTGTGTATTATCTGAGCTCTCACTCTCCAAACACAAGCAGGCCGTAAATATTTATGGCAGTGGTTGTATAAATATCTAGGGCTAGAGTGAGCAGTAAAAGAAAGTTATGGGCTTAACAGCACAATTTAGAATGCAGGCCAGAAGCCTCCAATATAAAGGCTGCCAGGATGTCCTTTCCAGGGGTGACACTGTTTACACTCTGTTAGGAGCCCCCTAGGTGCTCCTCTTCGGATTTACTCATCAGGGTTACTATAGAAACCTTCTTCTTTGCTTGGGACCTCATCTGGTCACACAGGCGTCCAAAGCAGGCCTGTGAGCTAATGTACGAGGGCACAGCTGATGTGTTAATTATGTTGTTTTTAATATAGATACAATTGACATGGGGGGGTGTTTGTAAAACCACCCATGGTGGGGCAGGGCTTGGAAATACAGTAAATAACAAGAACAGCTTAGTTCAATTAGTTTGACAGACGCAATACATGCTTGGCTGCAACAGTGAAACAGGCTCCCAATAGCTCAGGCTAAAGTGTAAACCCCTCTAAATATACTGTACTTTTAGGATATACAGATAGCTTTATATAGACACGAGTACAAAAATGACACTTTCTTGTTAGAAGCTACTGCTGCTAATAATATATTAATAAACTTCCAGCTCAGGATATGTCATTCAATATGCTTAATTCACATTAGACAGATGTAACTCCCATAATGTTAAATTATAAAATACCCCCTGCTTAATGCCACCGGGCTTTACTCATAGCATTATGTGATTAAATTCATTTTTCAAATGAGCATTTAGACATGCATCTATCGCATCTGTGGAATAGTGTAACATACTCTGTGTATATTCCATAATCTGCATATGAGGTAGAAGATTACAGATTTGAAATGCCAGGGTGGAAAACAATTTTATGCACATTAGAATTAATAAAGATCTCATAAATAAAAAATGGCAGTTTTTTGGTTGGGAAAACGAAACCCTTAGACAAGCTACAAGATACTACAAGATATTGTAGTAAAAGAATAGAGTACTTTCTACATTTTCTCAGTTCTCAATTTAAAATAATCAGAATAATCAGCATGGAAGTGATCCTTCTTCCTTCCTGTTTGCGAAAACATATACATCATTGCTACACGTCTGTAACAACTAACGACTTGTGAAGTTGCTCAGGTGTCTGTAACAGTCCTAAACACAGCCAGCCTTCTGAGCTTGGAGCTGCAGGTACAGTGTGCAGTGTGACGGATCAGATAATGGTGTCCTTGTTCAAGCACACATAATGAGTATAAATCTCTAAGTACTGCACAATAAAAAGACTAACAGGAAATACTTTTTTCTAAAGGAACTTGATTTGAGCAAAAGAGGAACAAAAGGCAACAGAGCTTTGCAAAACACGAGAGAGGAACACTGGTGCATTTCAGTCAAGCGGAGAGCAAACCTATATTGCGTATTGTTTGCCGAACATCCTACGGTTTTGATAGATGTATCGTCTTTTACATCATGTTAATTTCCGAGCCTTCTGTTATATAGCTCCACTGCGCAATGTGGAAGTGTTGTATTATGTATCTTTATACGATTCTGTAATTGCATTTTCATGTACGCCGTCTTAAATAAAAAGGCATCAGATAAATAAATAATACATTTGGAGAGCCAGCAATACCCACTGCTGTGCATGCATGTTTTTAAGGTCTTGAGAGTGCCATCTGGTGTATTCAGACTGTTCGGAGGTTCGGTGCAAAAGAATAAATGTCAGTGCCCTGCCTGGCTTCTGGCCCCTGATGGAAATGATACCGGTGGATAGACCGTCTGTCAGTTCCAGAGCGCTCAGGAGCTGCTGAAGAAGAATGACGAGAAAAGCACACCACCTGCCCGTGTGGAGATGGCAAAGAGCACACGTGCGTCTCTCTGTTCCTATGGGTCGGGGAGCGCGGAGGGAGGGGGGGCGCACAGAGTATATTGTTAGTTTAGGGAAAGGTGAATCACCTGGAGGCTGGAAACTGGGATAAAAGGCAGCTCTGTACGTAACACGAGCCTGCAGAAAGCAATAGATTTCCAAAGGCCAGGTTTCCAGAGGGGAACAGATGTCGCGCTCCAGTGATTTGAAGCTGTTTCAAAGCCCGTTTTCCCGGCAGCAGGAGCAATCAATAATTCAACCAAGCTCAGACACTGCCGATCTGCCGGGACGCTGCCCGATTTGGAAAGGGATCGCGGCCCCTTCCCGGCCACTCCTCGCCATCTGAGCGCAGCTTCAATCCCAGGCAGCACCCTGGGCGCGATGGGGGACAGCCAGCAGTTACAGCCGAGAGGCCAGGACGGCTCAGGCTTTTACACTCATTTTCCGCTGCTGGAAATTTTGCCCCAGCCACTGCATTCATTGTTTAATTGGGCCCTTAATTAGTTAATTGCCCTGCCGGTCGTCACTTAAATAAGTGAGGGTTTGCTGCGGTGCAACAGGCAATGAAGTGGTAAGGAAAGCAGGAGACCTAATCAGAAGCAGGTCACCACTGCTGTGGAGGAGAAAGGCTTAAAGAGCCCACGGAGGTTTACACACGCAACGAGGCCATGTCACCACCTTGCTCACTTGATTACTAGTATCTTAGTCATCAATGGGGGCTGGCCTGCCCATCTGACTCCTCCTTTCACTGATGATCCTGCAATAGGCATTGGGACTTACTCTGCTTGTACCTTGTCAAGATTTTACTGACACCTAAAGACAAAAGAGAATCAGTTCCTCAGATGTTTTGGGGGTAAGGCATTCCTTTAAAGCCAGGAAAGAAATATCTTGCTTTCCTTTGCTGTTTTTTTTCATCTGGTTACCAAATCTGCACAGTTTGTAATAAATTCTTGCCAGTAGTGCATTCTATCATTGTTCACATGCTTTCCTTTGGCTTGACAGTTCTCACAACACATCCTATTATCTCAGAGCTGAACCATGCTTTCCCTTGCAGAATAGTGCTCTCAGCTCATATTATTCTGTTCTGTTGAGAGCAGATTATCTGGACTCCAGAGCCACAACTCTCCAGGCACCAGTCTCCTAGTCCTACGCCTTTCCCAGCTGTTAACATCTGATATATAAATCAGAACATGAAGCATCTTTTTTTTTCAGCATGCCCTTTTCAGAGCTGTATTAACCTCTGTATCCCATCTTGTCTCGATGTGAGTCTCCTGGCTTTTCTAAGTCTTTCTGGAGAGGCCTAGACAATTTGTCTGCTAAGCTAACATCATAACAAACAGGGCCTGACTCAGAAGGCTCCTGCTTGCTTTTGTCAGTTAGAAGCACAAATCCACAGACGTCTATGCATGTAAATGATTGTCTATAATCCTTAAAACACAGTACAGTTCTGCAGTAGACT